ACTAAACTAAAAATGGATTTCATAGAAGTAAAGGTTATAATATTGTATCATTTTCTGATACAAATGCCCCTCTTTGAAACTGGCTATTGCATGTGAACCACACTTGCACAGAAAGGTATAACTCTTACTAAAAGTATTACAGCATATATGTAACAGCTGAAACCTACCAATTACTGCTTTTGTTCAGTAGCAACTCATCTAACAAGCTACTTCAAAGAAGAGAACTATTCAATATTCCCTACTACAATTGGGAATGCATTCTTTTTGTACATCAGATTTTTAAGCGCCAAACCACCTGTTTCCACTTGGAATACAAGTCATCAGAAGGTTTAGTATAATGAGGCTCAGGATCTCTAGCAGTTTTTGTAACAAAATTCTCTTTGCGTAGTCAAAGGGGATTATCAGATTATTATAGATACAATATTTTATCTACTAAATTACTAAGAAATCCTTGCTTATAAAATTTAGAAGGAATACAAGAAGAACTATATATTTATTTATGCATGCTATACAATGACACTGGTGGTAAATAAACAAAACAGCTTAATAAACATCAAAAATGGAAAGTTGTTCTTCTAGACACATTCACCAACTTTTTCATTCTCACCTCTGATTGGTTTTACTTTTAAAACAGAAAACAAAGCATGTTAACTTGTGACAGCTATAGGCGGTACCAACTTTAATGATGTTAAGAGCAGGTTCTCTCAGCCATAACAAAAGAGAAATATGACAGCAATCTGAAGAACTTTCATCCTTTTTGCGTCAAACATCTTCAGTGTTCCCAGCAAAGAAAATCAGCAGTAGCTATCATGATAGCTCACTGGATGAGTAATGATGTGGATCTGACCAGACAACGGTAACCGTAGCAACTGTAACCTGCAATTCCTGCGTAACCATTGTTGGATTTATTGTGGCAGGGGCCAAGGAGGCCAAGAGTAAAATGAAGCAGAGAACTATGGTGTCTGACACATCTAGTACCACACACTTTAATCATAGCTGGCAGAAATTAATTCAGGAGGAATTTTTGCAAGGGCTCCCCATGCAGTTTTCTGCTTTTATTCTTGGCTACAAAGATCTTAAGCCACTAAGCAGACATCACTAAACTAGGTGTTTCTAACTGTCAGATTACTTTAAGACCTTTTCCTTTAAATATGTAAAATGTCATATGCCAAATATACTTATTCAGGTATGCTAATGGTAGAAAGGAAAGGTGTACTGTGGAACAAAAGACTTGGTACCTAGATTAAGTTGACTGTTTCAGAAATATTTGTTTACTTTGAGCTATAATGACTCTGAATCATGTCCATTCAGGCATGGAGCTCTCCCTCATCCAACTTAAAAAAAAATTGTTCAAATCAAAATGTACAGGTGCACACAATTATGTATCATTCATGCCACCACCTAAAAACATATTTTAAAGACAAACACTCAAAGAGCTTGGAACATAGCATTTGGTATCCTGCAGCAAATGGCAATGCAATGAACTGTGATCTAACAAGCCAAATTAAGTAGTCAGAATCTATTTGCTTCAGATAAAACCCAGTAGGCCGTAATAGTTCTTTATTTTAAATATACTATTGTTGATGCTGGACAAGTCAGTGTTAGAAAGTATATGAATCATTGGAAAGAATACAGGCGGTTTTTGCAATGAAATATACTTTTTGAATAATGGCTTCATGCAAAAGAGTTTAAATATTATCCAACAGGATCCACGCTAATGGTATCTATACACTATTACTTTATCAAAATCTTTAAGATAAATATTTTCAAGCTCTTTTGAAAATTAAAAAAAGATCAGGAAATATGAAGTTATTCTCACTATAACCACACATTTATCATCTTTTTGAAACCTAGTAACACAAAATAGAGTTTGTGCCGAATCATCTTTCCAGTTTAATTCAAAATAGGAAATATTTTAGCTTAACCTGTAGGAGTTTTTTGGAAGGTTATTTTCCTCCAGCATTATTTATCTGAAAAATACAAACTAGAATATTCTCTATTTTAGAAATCAGGAAGACAAAATTATGTACTCTCTTTTAAATGCTCAACCTATAATTTTCTTTTACTTACACTTTCCATCTGTCAACAAGTGCTTGTAATTTTATTACACTGTCCTGTAGTTTATGCAGAGTTGGTATTATTTTACAGAGTTCTGTTAATGGACTGGATAAATGGTAATGCTATTTAAACTACTCTCCTACTCCAACAAACACAGCTGCAACTGTACTACTATTTCTGAGCAAACATCTTGACCTGAACATGCAGTGCTCTCTCAACCCTTCCAAAGAGAAATTGGAGCAGACAGCAAAGGGAAAGCATAGCCGGCCGCTGGCAGCAACCAACCGTATCTAATCATAATTCATATACAGTGTACCCTCTCTTTTTTATATTGCATTTAGGCTACACAACAAGCATATGTGCTTCTTCACCTGGCATCTCATTTACAGCAAAGGGTCAAATGGTAATTATCATTCACAGAAGCTAAACAGCCTACTGAGAAACTTATAGCACACATACTATAACATATTAGCTATTAAGTTTTGTTTTTAATTGGGAAATTAGATTAAAGTGATACATATTTAAATGTCTATGTATAGCCAACTTCAAATCTACTTTTTTTTTGAAGAGACTATAGCTCCCTATGTAGATGTGTATATAGGCATCCCTAGCATGCACACTAATTTAAAACAAACAAGAAATACGCACAGCTTGTTCTTGGCATTGTAGCCAAATTACATGAAATCCAAAAGCTCCTGATCATACACAACTGGCATACATCATTTCTCAACAAACCTACTTCTGCCGTTCTAAGCATACAGCTAAACTATACATTTCAGTACAGTTAATGTATTTTTAAAACATGCATATGTTCTAACCAGACATTCACTTTCATGGTCTGATCAACAATAACCCTTGGGCAGAAGAAATGTAATACTGCTAAGCCAGCCATCTCTTACTTTCCACTAGATACACCATATGTGTTGGTATGTCCTATATCCAAAAGCAAAAAAAAAAAGCTTTAAAAACATATCAACCAACTGTAGAATTATAAATAAAATGTATTCAAATATGCCTTAAATGAGCATCCATTTTAATTTGCAAAGTATCTCATGAAATTGTATTCCATTTAATATAGCAAACAAACATTAATTTAAAGGTGAAATAAAATAGGATACCCATAACTCTCACCTTTTCCAATATGAAAGTAAAAAATTTTAGTTTAAATTCCCTAGAAAGCATGGAAATATTAAAACAAATGGTTGACTTACTAGCTTTAATAAATAATGAATACATACTGTGATATTTGTGAAGTGTGTACTCTAATTTGTTAGCTGAAAGAACTTCTTTTCCAGAGCAGAACCCTTTAGCACAGTATTTCTCAACCTTTTTTATAAAGTACCCCTTTTTCAATAATAAAAAATAAGTACCCCAGTACCTACAGTTTTCAGACACTTTTCTACCATTGCAACACATTTGTTTAAACAACTTAATTGTTGCCAGGTGGGCGATGAAATGTTTGGGTGTAAAACGTACAAAAATAATAAAGTGCTGTAAAATTTAACAAAAATTCAGTTCTCCAAATTTCACTTGTGCTGACATAGCCCCCAGACTTCTCTCAAGTACCCTTAAGGGTACTCGTACCACTTGTTGATAAACACTGCTTTAGCATACTGCTGTCTAGTTATCCAACAAGTGTTTTATCTACAGAAAATGATTTTGAAACAAAAACCAAACAAAGGGAAAAGGCAGATAATAGTTAACTATATAGTACTGATATGTATCTGGCTACAATTTAGCCATTTTAAGATTCACTTCACATTGGAAAGGAAGTTGGAATGAATCATTTAAGGAAATTAGAATAAAAATCAACTTCATTATGAAAATTTACTTGATCCACGTCCGCTTCAAGATCATCATGAACTAGAGCAAATTTGATCAGATACTAAAAAAACCAAAACTATTATTCCCTTATGTAGTTGGAAACTGAGGAAAGATAGCTATCTTCCTGGCTACTGATTGCATACTGATGAATTAAATCTCTTTTTGTTTGTCAAACTATTTTGTCCATTAACAATTCCAGCAGAACGGTTTCATGTGAAGCCTACAACAAAAATCAAGTATGTGTTTTTCAAACAAGCTTCAAATTATGTGCTGTCTTTTCAGAGCTTCTTGATAAAGTATTACTGCTGTGTTCTCTTCAATCCTTCATACTATGAAAGCAATTCAAGTTATCTTGAAGTTTATTGTATTAAAATAATCAGCAGATACTGCTGTGTGTTAGATAAATAACCTAAGTCTATTCCACATGCATGTTGTGAAGGAAAATAATTGAATTCTAGAACAGTACTGGCCAAAATATCAACACTCCAATTTAAAACATTAATACCCAAACTATAGAATCAAAAGTAATATGATATACTGCACCTTGTATAGCTGCTAGTTAAAAATGTTAACGTTTTGTATTTCTCATTTAAGTCATCGGTCCAAATAGTAGGTTACCATTTTTATTTCCAGCAACAGATATACAAGATGGCAACAGACACTGAAGTAATACTAGAGAATGGTTTTTAGTCCACAAACCCAGAATATGCCAGAACCAAATTATGAACAGCCTTTGTGTAATTTCACTGGGCCGATATTTCTAAAACAATTGCTTTGGATTTTTTATGCTCTGTTGAAAGTCAAAAAAGAAAAATAACTAGTGGTAAACCAAACTATTCTTCCATTAAAAAAAAGGCAAACTTTTGGAAGTGGGGAAGGACAGGAGAGAAGAGAAATTCATATTATCTGAGCTAGAGAATGAAAACAAACACTATAGAGTAATCAAAGAAAATACTAAACTAAAATAAATTATGTTGTTCTTTACAAGGTAAAACTAAGCAGCACACTTCAGAAAAGGACAGGATAGATTAGGTGGTATCTTAACATATATACACTCAATGTATGTCACGTAGGACTTGCAAGGTTTCCAAAAGCAATAATGGATGCTAACTACTTACAGTCTGTATAGCTTTGGAGTCCCTAGGAACAGCAGTTCAGAAAGCAGCTGAAGATTATTTCTGTTTAAACGCCTTTTGAGAAAAAGAAAAAAGGTTAGATTACAAGTAAGACAAGAATCCTATAATAAATTTATTACTCTCAATCCTTTGTCCTCAATTCTCAGCGCACGAATTGGCTAGCTATACAAACTAGTACATCTTGTGCAAAAGATAAGCTTTTAAAAAGGATGAGTCATCTTTTATGCATTGTTCATCATACACAATGTAAGTGTGGTTCTTCCAGATGTTATTAGTGTGGATCCTATTATAGATGTATATGCTTCATACAATTGAGATTTTTGGTAGAGAGGAAACAAAACAAAACAAAGAGCCACCAGAATGATCATGTCCTTATCTCTTTTGATCTTGGAAAGAGCCCTGGGAATCAGAAGAATAACATACAAGTAAACCTCTCCAACTGCAGGAGGAAAGCAATTGGTAATTACCCAGAATTCAAACCTCTGTTATAGAAATAGCTGTAGCATTTGCTATTGTCCTTTACAGCAAACACCTCTTTTTTACGAAGACCCTAAATGGTAATGAGGATTCCACCTTATCATAAACCTCACATTACCTCCCATGGAACAGGTGTATGGCTATGCGGAGAAAGAAATCAAGGCTGCATATGTACACTGTATCTTCTTACACTTGAGAGAATAAAGAGCACAACAGCAGAGGTGGGAGACTAGCTGTGTCATTAGGTGAGAATTAGAAAGTGAAAGGCTAACCTGTTTTCAACAAAGTAATAAAGGATCTTTGGTAGGGACCTGGACTAGGTCCAACACTTTTTTGCATTGTCCACATCGAGAACCCCTTCTACTTCTAAGTCATGGTAGATCTTTTCTGCCTTTGTGACAGAATTTCCCAGACCTGCAGGAAGCAGTCTGAGAGTCACTTTCAGCCACATGCTAAGTATGGAGACTTTGGGTCTGGATGAGTACATGGCCAACCAAAGAATGAAACTGGCACACATCTGGATGGCCTAGGAATTAGACTGGAGGCTGAAGGTTGATCTGTCACTTCTCTGCTAAAAAGGAACCATCAGAATGATCATGACATTCTCTGAATCTTGGAAAGTGTCCCGGGGATTAGAAGAATAGTGTAGAAGCAAGCCTCTGTTCAACTGTAGGAGGAAGGCAATTAATAACTACTCAGGAGTCAAACCTTGGGAGCAACAAGGATTCAACCCCACCATGAACCTCACATACTTCTTGTGGGCCAGGTGTATGGCTATGTGGAGGAACGCAATCTGCTGTGACACAGTTGTTTGAATAGGACCATTTTCAGACACTGATCCCTTGACTTGAAGTCAGATAAATTTACATACCACATGCTTATCAGGGATGCTCATGAGATATTCATTCCAGAGATCTCTGAACGGATTCCTTGGATCTGCTGTGTTTATCTTCACTTAGCTAGGTTATATATCTATTTGATTTTTTCCTTTCATCTAATAGTGTGATCTGTATTTACAGTTCTTAATCTAAAGGGCAGCATTGTTCACCATGAATAAACTTAAAAAGGCATGTGAAAGTTACAGGCATGATCTTGCAGTTGCTTCAAATTAAGGATAAGGACTCGAGGATTAGGTCTTGTGTTTTCAAGTTAAAACTGGCACGCCTCACATACTAGCAGTGTCACACGCATTTGTTGGATGCTCATTTCAGCTACTGTTGCCAAAGGACCTGTAACAAATATTAAAGCAGGCTGGGAACTTGTTTTTACAGACCCTCGGTTTTTAGTTAACTAATAAGTTTATTCCGATTGTTCAGTCGCTAGTAAAAACAAGACAAACAATTTTACTTTCACGTGTTAGACTCTCAGAGAGCCACTGTTACAACTTTGCTAATAAAGTAAGTAGTCACAGATGCTATTTGCCATTCTGAAAAATTTTCATGGACAATTATTTGCACCAGAGACTGCTGGACTAAGGAAAAGTGGTACACTTTCTCCTTAAGGCCATGGGCTAGAATCCCCACTAGCTTACACTTAAAAAAAAAAAAAAAAAAAAAAGCCTAGTATGTGCCAGGTCTGTGTAATACTGCCATCAATTTAAATGGAGAATTTCCAGTTAATGTTTTATAAGGGTGCAAACACCACAATAAGATGCAAATATGAAGAATCAGGACCAAATCTACTTTGAATACCAGAGCCCATGTTTTCTCCATAATGGGTATGTCTTCATTATAAACACAAACACTTTGCAATAAGTCTCAACCTGGATCAACTGACTATTTGTGCTGCAAGACTAAAAATAGCAACAGATGTTCCAGCTTTGGTTGGCATCTTGGCTCTGAAGTGTGGCAATGAGGATGGGTCTCAAATCCCAAGCAGGAACTTGTGCTACTGTGCTAAAAATAGTATACAAGACCAAACCAGCTGGCCTGGACTCCAGGACTCATTGTGTGAGGTTTTATTTATTTATTTTTCAGTGTAAACATACTCTCTAATGGCACATCTATACTGCAATTAAGCACCTGTGACTGGCCTGCGTCAGCTGGCTTCAGTTATGAGTCTATTTAATTGCAGCATGAACTCACCTTTCAGGGGCCTAAAGCCTGTGCTCCAACCCACACTCCAATATCACAATTAGACAGCCTCATTGCCTGAACTTCAAGCCTGAGTCAGCTGACAAGGGCCAGCCCCTGTTCGTGAACAGCAGTACAGATATACCCTAACTCTCTCCATTCCCAATTTATGTTACCTGGCCTGCAGTGCTTAGCTTCAGCAAAGAATTAGGAAACACATTCAAAGACTGCCATGAATGAATTTCTTGTTACGCAAGTGGGAAAAACTGAAAAAGGTCTTGCTTTCTATGCACACATCCAGAGGCTAAGTCCAGACATTCTTTTCTTGGATTCCATCAGCTTAGGAAATAGGTAACAGCTTTTGAACCTATGTATTTGGGTAGATGAGCACGACTGTTGTGCTGTGATTCATATACAAAGCAGCCCCATAAGAGTTTTAAAATACAACTCCTTCCGGCTCTCCCAATCTTATACTCCTTTTAAAAAAATTTATTCTTTAGGACTTACCTTGTATATTAGGATGAACTTAAAAGAAATGTGAAGGTAATGGCTTTTCACGTTAAGTTAGGAGAATCTGCTCTAAATGATGCATGGAAGAAGGTTTAAGAAAGTTACCAGGCAGGGTTCAGTGGCAAAGTGAAGATGAGAAAGTGTGTGCAGTAGAATATTGCTCTGTTTAAGCCTCCAATTCTTAGCTCTGTAAGATTAAGAAATTCATTAACTTAATTTTTTTTGGGGGGGGGGGGGCAGGCAATGAATAGGAACCTGTGGAAGGACTAAAAAAGAGTGTACTATGATCAAATATCAGGAAAGAATGATCTTGCAATAGCATTATGGGTGGTTGGTGCGGAGGGAAAAAAGTGAACTAGGGAGGTAGAAGAAAAGCTACAGGATGGCCTTCCCTTGTCCAGCACCCTTGGAACCGGAGGATCCCAAAGGAGGGAGTTTGCTGGACCAGGGGAGGTCAGGCCTTCCGCTGTCCCAGATCTCCCCTTCTGGCTGCGGGCCTGGCTAGCACCCTACCCCAAGCAAAGCTCCAATCAGTGCTGCAGCCCTGCTCAGACCACTGGGGCTCCCTGCCTCCAGACCGTGGCAGCTCTGTGCCTCCAACTGCTGGGGCTCCCTGACCTGCATAGCTTCATTCCAGCTGCCAGGGCTCTGCAGCCACGGCCAGCAGCAGCTCAGCAGCTCCCGGC